CTCTCTCTCTCTCTCTCTCTCGCGCGCACGGATTATATCCGTAATGGCAAGTCGAATGGAAAAGGATTCGTCGATTTGCCTTGTAAAGATTGTAAAAAGAAGAAGAAAAAAAGAAAAACAAAAAAGAATAAAATATCGTAACGAAATTATCCGTGCACGACATTTTTAATATCGATTTCTCGATCGTCTAGATACAGTGTAATAACTTAACCTTCAGCTTCACCGGATATATAAATATTCGAAATTTAATATTTCGTGGAATTTCACGGAAACGTTGAAAATTGTTTCTTCCTTCTGCTTGCTGCGAATTCCGTTTCCACGCAGCCGTAAGATCTTCTTCGCCCTCTTCCTCCTCTCCACTCCGCGATATTTCGGAGCATCGATGTTCTGCAACCGGAGGAGGAACGTCTGGAAATCGCGACGGGCGAATGAAAAATTCGCGAGAACGCGTGCACCTTTCGACTTTGGTCGAAAACCATCATTTTGCGGGCCATTTTAAAAAAATTTCCACCACTTTTCCAACCACGTTCCAATGAGGCTTCCAACCCTTTGGAAAAAAAAAGAAAGAAAAAGAAAGAAAAACCGAGCGTCCGAATGCGCTCGACGTCGATCTCGCGTTCTCGTTTAAACCCGGGCAAAACCGAGAAACCTAGATATTTTAGCGAGGATCCGAGTCGCACCGCGCACTTCAAACGCATTCTTTCATTCGTTGATTTTCGGGTCAAGCGATGTGTGCGGGTTTGTGGAATCGCGCAAGATTTAGCAAGAATCCGGATTTAATTAAGCTAATTAAACTCGAGATACGGGGGTGCGTTCCGCGTTCCGCCGCAAATTACTCGTATCAACGAAATTAACCGGAAGCAAAAAGCCGTTCCCACGCCTCGAACAGAAGCCGGACGATGATAATAGCAACGTTCGATCGAGAGATGTTTCTCCTCGTATTTTGTACATACGTACGCGTAGCCAGAATTCTAATATTTACGGAACTCGTAATCTAATTTAAATGTAATTCCTTCCAGGTCTCGTTCCAGTTTAAACATTTATTTCCGTTTGCCGAGCCGCTCGATGAACTCGAGCCACGGGAGATGTCCAGTCCATCTTCCATCCACGCGGAAAAAACTTTTCCAATTAGACCAACGTTTTCCTTTAATCTCGATCGACTGTCATCTTTCCGTCCGTGGATCGATTTCTATATATCGACGCGCTTGTCGATTTTATATCCTTTTTACATCACCTTCGACGATTGTTCTTGCGAAAGTCGAGTTCTTTTACGAAACTGTTGCAACTGTCGTCAAAGCTATTATTACGAGCGAGAGGTATCAACAGGTATCCACGCAGAGAATTAGCGTCGTCCTATCGTTCATCTTTGAATTCTCTCTGTAAAATCGTAATCGTAACTCGACCGTTGTTTTTTCCACGACGAATCGACGGTTAAGAAAATATCCTCCTCCCCCCGCGACTTATTCGAATCAACGACCCTCTTCGTTTATTTTTATTACCGCTCCGAGCGATTTCTCCGCCATCGTTGAAGATCGGCCAATTATGGTTGCTCCACCGATCATCCCCGCTCGAGGAGAATTAGTGGCAACAGGTGACCTTCGAGCTTGCAAGGATGAAGAGAGAGAGAGAGAGAGAGGAAAAAAGAATGACAGGAGGAACGAGTATTTATTTGCGGTCGATGATTAACAAGACTCCCCTCCGAGGTGTACGAGTTTCGAGCAATTTGTCAGAATAGCCGGAATGTGTGGATAAGGTATACGTGCATGTGTGTATACGTGTGGTGCAGAGGGGAGGGGAGGTCGCAAACGTTGCTTAAACCATTAAAGGCAACGTCTCGCGAAAATTTAGTTCGTTAACCGTGGGACCGAACGACTCTCGACCGAGCCACACTTTCGAGGAGCCTTGCTCGAGAAGCAAGAGACCGAGTTCCAGCCACTCACGTCGATCTCATCAAGGAACGTTTGTAGAGCGAGCGAGCGAGCTACTACTGCGGCTTGGAAGGCCACGCGTTACTCGTGGCCCCTCGAAAAGGACTTGGCCGTTTTCGCCCTCCCCCTCGCTACGACTGCGAACCCACCACCCGCCACCTTCCCGTCGAGACTGTTTATTCGAGAAACGGCACTTCGAAACGAGACCAAAGCAGGAGGAGGGGTGGGCAGCACTCGGTCGAAGGAGACGTTTGCTATAGGTCGAGCAGTCGGACCGCGAACAACTCTCCTCTCCTCTCGTGTTGGTTGGTTGTTAGCGTCGAATGGAGAAGTTACAGATTGCCTTGGAAAGAGTCGCGTGCAAGAACACCCTTTTCTCGTTCCACCACCTACTACTACTACTGCTGCTGCTACCACCACCACCACTACTTCTTCCTTTTCATCCTCGATTCTTCCGTCCTCGGCTCTCCTCCCTGTTTCATCCTCCAATTCCTTGGGTTAGGGTATAATTTGCGGTACGCGTTAAACCACCTCTGCTTCTCACTCTATGGAGCAACTTTATGTAGGTAGATTAGCTCCTCCAGCTTGCCGAGCGAGATTGCATCTTCCGCCTTTATTTCGCCTCACCTCTCTTCCTCCCTCTTCCTTTGACAAACGATCGTCATTCGAGGAGGAAATATGATTTCGTCGCGATGTTTGTATCGATCGTTGCCGCGAGTGATAAGACAAGTGCTTTCGAAAAGAATTTTTCCAATTCCAACTGGAATGCGGAAACTTTTAACATTCGATTCTCGACTTTCTCGGCTCTCCCAATTTCCTCCCCCTCTATAGTCGTCCTGTAGTCGTTATACGGGAGATATACATACCATTTAAATTTCAGTTTCTCGTGGATCTTTGGCGCGAAGAAA